ACTGGTGTCTCTCAGTCCCCCCTCTCTCTCTCTCAGGGAGATATCTGTACACATTGCATATTTTTTCTCATTCCCTCCCGTCGCTCTCTCTCAGGGAGATATCTGTACACTGACTGGTGTCTCTCAGTTTATTTTCTGTTGTGTTACCTTGAGCAGTGTTGCAAAGTATTCTCCGTTGATGTAGTTATTGGTTTTGAGGTACAGGGCCCTGAGTTCGTTGGCTCCCACTGGATTGTATTTCTGGTTAAACCTGTCGAATCGCTGGAACGTTTCCCGGTCCTGAAAATGGGAATTTCAGACGGGGTCAGTGTGCTGGAAATATGGGAGCAAGGGGAGGACAGAGTCTTCAGACTGAAGGCCCTTTCTGAGCAGACAAGGGGAGGCGATGGCCTCGTGGTATTATCGCTGGACTGTTAATCCAGAGACCCAGATAACGTTCTGGGGAACAGGGTTCGAATCCTGCCCCGGCAGATGGTGGAGTTTGGATTCAATAAAAGTATCTGGGATTGAGAGTCTAATGATGGCCGTGAATCTGTTGCCGATTGTTGGGGGAAAAGCTCACCTCGTTCACTAATGTCCTTTAGGGAAGGAAGCTGCCATCCTTACCTGGTCTGGGCCTACATGTGACTTCAGACCCACAGCAACGTGGTTGACTCTTAACTGCCCCATGGGCCATTAGGGACGGGGCAATAAATGCTGTCCTGGTCAGTGACGCCCTCATCTTGTGAATGAATTTTAAAAAAAATGCTTATTCACTGTGACTCAGTCTGGAGCGATGGGACACCCCGATGTAGACGTGGCGCACATTCGGGAGCTGTTTAATGTTAACTCAGAGACCCTGGAGATGAATCTTGTGTTGCCCCCAGCAAATTGGTGGTGTGGAGGGGGTGGAGGACCACAACGATCGCCCCCCGAGCCTGCTCCACCAATGAATTACAATCCCATCGGAGTCTCTGGGTCTGGTAGGTGACTGCACAGACAGAGGTGTCCCATCCGCGGTTAAGGAGCATGGCCAGGGAGAGGCACTGCAACGCCAGAGAGGTGGGAAGGAAGGTGTGAGAGGGTGCATGCCTAGAGATGCTTCCTGAGCCTGACCACAGGAGGTTAAAAAGGAAATCCACGGGGCAAAGGTGCAATGGGTTCCACTTCCCCATTCCTTGGAAGCGTGCGTTTACAAACTTCGTTTTACTAATCATTCGCAGGATGTGGGTGTTGCTGACTGAGCCTGCGTTTAGCTGACCACCTCTAAATCGCCCGGAGGGTGGTTTAAGAGTCAGCCACATTGCTGTGGGCCTGGAGTCACGTGGCGGGGCCAGACTGGGTGAGGGTGGCAGCTTCCTTCCCCGAAGGACTTTAGCGAACGCAAACTGAAATTGCTGGAAGAAACTCAGCATCCGTGAGCGGGAATCCGCGTTAACATTTCCGGGTCCTGTGGCCCTTCCTCAGAACTGAGCGGAACGTCGGAACGTCACGGAGATACCTGTGATCCTGGCAATATTCAAAGCACGAGGGACGAAACTTCATTTGGAATCCGCGTGGGGTGGGGTCTGAGCCAGGGGCAGTCACTGAGGAATGTGATATGGTTGCGGAAACGATTGTGAAACGTGGAACATCACAGGGATACCTGTGATCCTGGGTGGATATCCTGAGGGAGGGTCGCCGGACCCCGAGACGTTAACTCTGGCTTTTTTTTCTTCACCGAAGGCTGCCAGACCTGCTGAGCTTTGCCAGCAATTTCTGTTTCTGTTCCTGATTCACAGCGTCCGCGGTTCTTTCAGCTTTTATTTAGCAGGGTTGGCGGGTTGGGTCCAATTCTGAGCAAGGGATTCAAACCGCTGGAGGAAGTGGTGGAGGCTGGTACAATTACAACATTTAAAAGGCGGGGACGGGGACCGTGAACAGGAAGGGTTTAGAGCGATAGGGGCCAAACCCTGAGAAATGGGACTGGATTAATTTAGGATATCAGGTCAGCATGGACGAGTTGGACCGAAGGGTCTGTATCTGTGCTGTACACCTCTAGATGCTACTAGACCCTGCTGAGTTTCTCCAGCAATTTCTGTCTTATATTTCCCACGGTCCATAGTTCTTTGATTTATACTCGTGAACCAAATGGGTTTTCCTGCCCCTCACCACCCCCCCCAACCAACAATTGGTTCATTAGACTCTTACTTCCAGATTTTAAGTGAACTCATGTTCCAACGTTTGCCATGGTGGGATTTGAAACCAGCTCCCCAAAACATTAACCAGGTCTCTGGGTTAATAGCCTAGTGATGATACTATCGGGCCATCGCCTCACTGTTGAAATGAGCAAGGAGGCTGTGGAAACGACAGGAGCAGTTGCAAACAGGAGCTGACATGCTTGTCCAGGATTTAAAACGGCTCTCGTGCTATGTCTCACAACAACAACCCTGCCATTTCATACCACCCGAGGGTGCGGAGGGCCTCAATCTGCCTCCTGCTGGGCCCACTGGCATGGATAACGTGGCTCAATCTGAGATGAGCCACTTTAGGGGCAAAAGCAGAAAGGTGGACTGTTACCTGAAAGGTGATAGATTGGGGAAGAGGTGCGGGGCATCCCTCATGGACCAGCGAGGAGTGAGGGAGGTACGTTGACCCACCCCCCCGACCCCATAGACGAAGGATTGGAGGAGGGGGGCAGGCGTATCCTGATGCAGCCGTACGGGGTGGGAGTGGGGGGAGTCCTTGGGGAGACCCCCACCTGGAGGATTGTGCGGAGCTGGGGTCTCCCTTACCTGAGGAAGGA